AATACACACACACACACACACACATGCAAATCGCTGGAGAGACATCACACATGCACACATACTGAGAGACGGAGCGCCAACTTAAGCTCAATTCAATGGCGTTTGGTGCGAGCGAGCGAGCTGCCATAAAATAAAATGCCACTGCTGCCCATTGCTGCTGCTGTTGTTGTTGCTTTTTTCCTTTCTTTACTTATTACAACAACAGCGCAGCAAATTTGTTGGCCCTGCGATGCTGCGTCTACTGCTTCTGCTTCTGCTGCTGCTGCTGCCGTTGTCGTCGTCGTCGTCGTCGTCGTCGTCGTCGTCGTTGTCTTCGTTCGATGAATGATGTTGGCGCTGCCGCTGCCCGCTGCTACCTGCGCAGCACAACGACCACGCACACATACACCAGCAAGCACGCACACATGTCTCACGTGTGTGTCCATTGACGTCGTCGTCGTCGTCTGCTTTAGCTCGCCAATCAAATGGGGCGGGGCTTAAATGGTATATACATACATATATATATGTGTGTATTTTTTTGTGTTTTGCTTCTTTTTTCTGATGCTGCTGCGCTGCTGTTGCTGCTGCTGCTGTCGCAGCCGCTGCCGTGTGTGACACTTGCGCTTGTATAAGTGTCGCTCGCTTATGTGCACAGCTTTACCTCTCTCTGCTTGCGTGTGTGTGTGTGTGTGTTTTGGTTTGGTTTTTGGTTTTTATTATGCGAATTATTGAAAATTGAGCGACGTTCGCCTCATACGTGTGCAAGCAGACTTCGAGTGACTGACCGCGCTCGAATGAGTGACTTTAGCTTTATTTCCTTCTCCTTCCCTCGCGTGGCACAAATTAAGGATATATATTCTTCCTACTTTAATATATTTTATTAAAAACTATTAATACTAGCAAAAGTATTTAACAAAAAGCAAAAAAACTAATAAATCAAATATAAAATTTAAAATTAAGTGAAATATGAAATATTAAAATATAAGTACAAAAATAGTAATATGATTAAGTCGAAAATTGACCTGTTAGTAAGAATATTTCGAATATAATAAAGTTGGTCTGCGCTTGATATCGAATAAGACTTACTATAGTACTTTAATTATTTATGTGTTTTCTGACATATGTATATTTTACATATTTTTATATATAGTATATAAAATTCCCAACCGCTGTTATCCTGAAATATTTTTAAAATATTTATTTGACGTCTTTTGAATTGTGATATTTTTAATAAACTTTTTTAAAAAAAATTAAAATTAATAAAAATTAAATTTCTGTTAAAATATTATTTGTTAATTTCAGCATAGAAAATAATAAAATCAAATAAATACATATTTTTATAAGCACAGCAAAACAAAAAACATTTAAAAACAAATGAACTCACTCAATTCGAACAAGTTCGAAAAACATTTCGAACATCTGAGCGAGCCCCTGCGCTCGATTGCAACTGCAACTCAAACTTCTCCGACGCGCTGCGAGTGAATGGCCGAGTGAGCTCAGCACATTGAGTGAGTGGCCTGTGTCTCTTGAGTGAGTTGGCGTGAGCGATTGAGCGTGCTGCAGTTGCTGCGGCCGCTTGTGCCGTTGCAGCAAACACTTGTTTGTTTTGTTTGCCGTTAGCGGCCAGGCCAGTAGCGGCAGGCAGCAGCATTGGCATTTCCCCGTCGGCAAGTGCCGCAGAGTGCTCGGCTGCAGCTCAGAGACCAGTTCAACTCAACCATTCATCCATCGATTGTCAATCAACAGCGTTTGACTCTTGTGTGTGCACAAACGAGAGGGAACGACAAATAGAAAGCAGCAGAAGGCGTTTGGCAATCGCGTGTGCTCACACACACACACACATACCCATGTGTGCACACACGATACACACACATGTCCAACTGCAAAAGAAATGGTTGGCTGAAAGCAAGAAAAACCAAAGCGTTGAGAAAAAATCTAACAGCAATGAAATGAAATGAAATGAGTTTCGGCAGCAGCAGCAGCGACGCTTACGCCGGCACGAGCAGCGGCTCCGAAGCTTTCGTGTAGGTGGCTGCAGCCTGCGCTCACACTCTCGCCAACACACACTCCTCTTTCTCTCGCTCTTTCTCGCTCGCGCGCTCGGCTCAGCCTCTGTGCACGACGACGCGTCTCTCGTTCGCTGCAACGCACTTGGCGGCTGCTGCTGCTACTGCTACTGCTGCCTTTGCCTTTGCCGTTGCCGTTGCTCTCTGTTTTGCATTAGGTGCGCATTCACCCTGCCCTCCTTCACTCACTCTCCTCCTCTTTCTTATACCTTCGCCCATTCAGCGCTGGGTTAAGGTTGCCATCGTGGTCGTCGTTGCTGCTCGGCTGCTGGTGCTGCTGGTGTTGCTGCTAGTGCTGCTTCCTCTTCTTCGGCTTCTCCTTCTTCCTTCCTCTTCCGCTGCTTCATTCTTTCTCTGCTGCTGCTGCTGCTACTGCATTGCACTTCGATACAATTTGAACTTTTTCTTTATGTGCAAGTCGAACCGAGCAACGGTTCGCTTCAAGCCCTAACGGATTGCACGCTTCTCTATGCGAGTGCATGTGTGTGTGAGGAGCTCTTGAGCGTTACATAGGGCTGGGTCATGGATGCGACTGCAGCTCAAACTCTTATTTATAATTAATTTATTTATTGACTACTCTATTCATTAACTTTTTTTCCTTATATTTATATGAATCCATTTAGCTATTTTTGTCATAATATAATATTTAATTTAGCCAATTTAATTGAAGAAATCAGCTCAAGTTATTTATCTTGACTTCATTTGGTCTGTACTTTTACCTGTGTGACGGGTGAGACTCCTCCCACTTTGAATAGCTAATACACCCGCCCCTCCTCCACACACTCTTTAGCCAGAAAACTAACTCAGCTTGACCTTTGGCAGGCCACTCAAAGCGTAAGAACACACACACACACACACACATACACAGCAGCAACAGCAGAAGCCAGACACAATAATCATTGGAGCCAAAAGGATCCGCAGCTCACACCATGCAACAAAAGTAACAAGCAGAGAAATAAATAAAAAATTATACAAAAAAAAAAAAAAAAAACAACAGTAAAGCAATAGCAACTTAATTCATAAACAAGAACAAGAAAAATGTAAGTGGAAGCCGGCAAGACTTCCCCTTACTCGCTCGCACTCACTCTGACACACACTCACTCACTCACTCACTCACTCACCGTTTGCACTCAATGTGTGGCTCAATAAACACAAACCCGAGCTAAAGGAGCGCACTGTGAGCGCAACATTTTCCTATAAGTTTTTCCCAATCAGAAAAAAGGCGACGCAGGCACAAGCACCAGGAGCAGCAGCGACAGCAGCAGCAGTCGACGCCGCTGCTACAAATTGAATGCCAAGCCACAGGCACCACATATGCATGCAGCACGATAGAGCGAGAGCATGAGTGAGCGAGAGCGCCTGCATTGGTGAGTGAGAGTGGGAACGAGAGAGAGAGATAAACGGGCCGTTGGTTTGAATGAATGAATTTCAATACATGCAACTGACAGAAGTTATCAGAAGGCAGCAGCAGAAAAAAAAACGAAACGAAACGAACAGAAAAAAAAAAACCAAGCAAAAAGTAAACAGAACGAACGCTGAGCTGAGCGCACAAGTTGTAATACGCGTCGTATGTGAGCGAGCGTCAACGCCGGCGACAGCGACGGCGCACAAAAATGCTCAGCAGCAGCCCCAACCAAGCAAAACACAAACGAAAATCAAAAACCTATTGAAAGAAATCAAAAGCGTGCAGACTGCCAGGCGGGAGGCAAAAGACCAATTGAGTGACTCTCTCTCTCCACTCTCTGTGCTCGCCCTCTCTCGTTCACTCGCTCGCTCGCTCACTCGTGCCGTCTCTTCGAGTGCAAATGCTCGTCTGCACGCTCGGCTCGTGTGGCGACGGCGACGGCAGTGCTTCGTGTTCGCCGCTAACCGACAAACATCGTGTGCATGGCTTCAATACATATATAACATTTTTTTTTGTATTTGTTCGTTTTCGTTTTTGTTTTTTCGGGGTTGTCGACGCTGCGACTCGTCCACTGTTGTTCAGTCATCAACTGAATTCGTGACTGGCAACGTCGCCTCTGTGTGTGCCGCCGCCAGTGTCCGAGTGTGTGTTTGTTGTTTGTGTGTGGACTGACTGTTGACTGAGTTGTAACTGTAACTGAGTTCTTAAGCAGCTCATCGAACCAATTGCGAACAGCGAACTGCGAATCACGAAACACGAATCACAACAGCCACAGCAACAGCAACAGCACCCAGCGAAACAGTTACAAAGCAAAGCTACATTTTATTTATAAACAACAACAAACAACAAATGCAAGAAGCAGCATCAATCTAACTGCTAACAAAACATAAATTTTTTTGAGTAATTTTTTTTTTGACAACAAATCTGAAACAAGCAAAAATACACAATAAATTGAATATATATATTACAAATAAATATATATATTAATTGTAAAAGAATAAGAAGGCAAAAATAAAAGTAAATAAATGTGTGCGCGTGTGTTCAGTGTAAACAACAACAACAACAGAGTGAAACAACAACAATAACAACAACGACTGCAGCACCAGCAATATCAGCAACAGCAGCAACAATAACGGCAGCAACATGCAACAGCAACAGCAACAGCAGCAGCAGCAGCAACAACAGCAACAACAATTGCAAAGTCAGCCAAATCCAATCAGAATTTTGACTTGGCTTTAACTTTGAATGCAGCTCACAACAAATGGCAACATTTTGTTGAAGCCGACGCCAATTGTTGCAACAACGACAACCACAACAACAACAACATCAGCAAACAACAACAAAAGCGCGCGTGTGTGTGTGTCTATGTGTATGCAGGTGTTTATGTGTGTGTGTGTCAAGACACAACATAGCCAATGCAACAACAACAACAACAACGATAACAACGACAACAAATCAAAAAATTAAACAAGAAAAATTTTAATAAAAGTTTATGAATTTTTTTGAGCACGTAAAACCAAAAGCAAAACAACAACAACAACAAAGTGTCTGTGTGAGTGTGTGTCAGTGTGAATGTGTCTTAACTCTAAACTAACAACAATAGCGACAACAACCAATTAGTTAACAATACTAACCAAAAGAATTGAAAGAAGAAGAAGAAGAAGAACAAACGCAAAAGGATTGAATTGCTGTTGCAAGGCTGCTCCAAGTCTGTCTCTCGATGCCTCGACAAATGCCGCAACAGCAGCAGCAGCAACAGCAGCAACAGCAGCAGCAGCAGCAGCAGCAATAGTAAACAAAACAACCAACAAACAACAACAATTCAAACAGACAGCCCACGAATGCAGCCAACATTGCCACAAGCCGCTGGGACAGCCGATATGGATCTGACGGCTGTTCAATCAATCAACGATTGGTTTTTCAAAAAGGAGCAAATTTATTTATTGGCACAATTTTGGCAACAGGTAAGCCCCAGCTCGATTACAATTGGCCCCAGCGCCACCTCAGCCAGTGTTGTCCAAATGTTGCAAGTGTGTGTTGCAAGTGTTTCCATCAGAAGTTTAACTGAATATATATGCTTGATATACATATGTATATGCACTACAATATATAGGTAGAGTTATGTGAACAGATTCTCCAGTGTTGTCAAGTGCTCAATGCTGGCTCATATATGGGCTTGAGTTAATACTATACTACTAGCCGATTCTCCATGTGGCAAGTGTGTGAAGTTGTTTTCCCTTAACTGAAAATCTATTTTGATATTCTAAATGTATATACATATATTATATATAGAGTTGCCTAGTTACATGTCTCTATATATATATATTTACATATATGCGCTGCTTAGATATATATATTTAAATGTAATTTAGTGTTGCAAAAGTCTCGAGAACAAAGTCTTTGTTCATAGATCAATAATTCCGGTGAAAATCTATCAAGTTAAGAACTTGAGAACTAAGCAAAATGTTGGAGCGCTATTATTTAGATATATTTTATATATTGTGTTATATGTTTATCATATACATATATGCATATACATATATATAAATATATATACATATATGTTTAGCTATCATTTGGGTATTTCACTTAGGCACTTGCTCTAGAATTTCTAAGCTAAGCTAAGCTTCTAAGTTCTTTCCCAAGTTACAATGAGTTCATACAAATTAACAGAGAATATTTTAGAGATATTTTAGAAATTTTTATAGAAATATTTTAGAAATATTTTAGAAATATTTAGAACATAATATCAAAAAATAAAAAAAAATATCAAAAAATAAAAATGTAATGGGAAAAACTCTTTGTAGACAATTTAGAGATATTAAACACATGGGCAAATATTTTGGTTTTTATAAATAAGAACATATATTTAAAAAAAAAAATTGTCTGTTTATTTCATAAATGACAACAAAAATAATTTATAAAGAAGAACAAACATATTCGCCCATTTATTAAAACTTAATAGGTTTTCCAAATAAGCAAATAAATTTAAAAACAATTTAAAGTGAATTTTTAGCTTATTTGAATTTAATGAATATTTATTTTAAGTTAACTAATAATCAATTAATATTTTTAAATTTCATATATTTGTTATATGAATTCTTCTAATATTACATGACAATATGCCTACGTATTATTATATTATAGTATAGTGCATATATGATATATTTTAATATTTATTTATCATTTTATGGCCGCAATCTAATCATTAACTAATTAATTAAGTTCATAAATATTTATATGTATTTATTTGTATTTATATATTTAAATTGAATTGAAATTTCTGTCAGCTGCAATGAAAACTAAAATGGTTTATAAAATTCAAGTATAAACTATTGAATAGTAATAGAAATTTCTAAATTTAGATTAAAATGAAAAATTAATAAATTTATTAAATAAATTATAATATAATAAATCAAATATATAATAAATAAATATACATATATATCAAAAAATGAATAGCAATCATAAATAAATATAATATATAAATAATTATATTTTTCATTTACTGCTCAATTTATTTAGTTTGCAAATATTTCTAGTCAATATATGTATATTTTTTTTTATTTATAGATTTTTTGTTTCTAATTTAAGCTCACTAGAATTTGATAAAGCGCTCATCGAATTACCAACTGTTAGGCTTTTTAACCACCTGTGACATAATTGACAAGTGCAACAAGAAACGAAACAAATATACAAACATACATACATACATACATACATGGTTATATATTTGTATATATATATATTTATATGCGGGGCAAATACGTGCAAAACTCCCACACTTAGCTGTAAACAAAACAAACAATATGAAAATTATTTGCAATGCAATTTTCCGTTTTCCATTTTTTTCATTTTTCATTTGTTTTTGCGCTTTGTGTTTTTGTAATTCATCTGCAACTAATTGAGTTTGCGTGTCTGTGCCAATTGTTGTTTTTTTATTGATTTCTGAAAATTTGTTTACAAAATGTAACAACAACAACAACAGCAACAGCAACAACAATAACAATTTTCGGCTTGAATTGTTTTTGGTTTTCTTTAAGCGAACTTTAGCTGATCGCTGCTAATGGCCAGCCAACACACACACACACACACACACACACACAGATCAGCAGCCTCTTCAACAGCATCATCATTATCATCAGCTCACTAATGATGATGATGATGATGATGATGATTATGAATTGCAGCCAGACGACAAATTTTTGGCCAAATGCCAAAACTTTGCAACTCCAGCAAAGACAACAACAAGTTGGCAGACAGCAAAGACATGCATACATATATGTATATATATATATATATATATATATATATGTGCATATGCATCTATACATCTATATATCCATCTATCTATATCCATCTATATCTATATCTTAATTGGAGTTTGTCTGCCTTCTAATTGGATGCAGCATGAAATCGAATAAAAATCTGAAGCCAGCTGCAGTGGCAAATGTTGCAAGCATTATGACTGCAAACACACACACACACAGTTGCACGCACATATAACATTCGCAGAATGCAACAACAAGTAGAAGAAGAAGAAGAAGCAGCTAAAGAAATTCTTAGAAAATATCTTTGCAATTAATTTACATTGACGGCGACGAGTCGCTAAATCGTCATACATACATACATACATACATACATATATATAGTTAGAATATATATAGTGAATGACTAGGCATACTGCTTAACTAGTTAATGTACATACATACATACATCTATGTATATTTCTCCAACTGTCTATATCGGCAATTTATGTCGATATGATTTGCCGTCGGAATTTGCTTCAATTTTCTTTTATTTTCTTTTTTTTTGCATGCTTGCATGAAATTGAATACAAATGGAAATATTTATGAATACACAGCTAAACAGATATGTGTATGTAAATCTGATATACATATACATACATATGTATATATCTTCTCCATCTGTCTGCAACTCTGCTAGGATCCGTGTTGATCTATGCGATCTGCAATTAGTGCAGCGGCGAGGCGCAATCAATAAAACTTAAATAAGCAAAACCAATTGGGGCTGCCACGCCCCGTTTTATGGCAGGCATTGCCAAGTGCTGCCAAGTGTTCTAGCATATAGAGCATAGTGCACTCTAACCGAAGTTCCTAAGGTACTTGGCCTAAGCACAATGAAAATAAAACAAAAAAATAAAAAAATAAAATTAAATAATACTGATTGAAATACATAATTAAAATAAATAAATATGTTCAAAATATAATATTAATACAAATCAAAATTATTTAAATATATTATCAAAATAAATAAATATAATTTATATATATTATTAAAATAAATAAAATTTTTTAAAATTATTTTATTGAATTAAAATTAAAACAAATTGAAATTATTTCCCATTTTAAATGAATTAAAGCTATTATTAGCATTACAAATATTATTTTATTTATTGTTTTGTATTAATTTCATATTTATTTATTTATTTTTAATTTGTAATATATTCGAACTTTAATTTAATTGATATTTTATATAAGATAATCTATATTATTCTCATTATTTATTTATCATTTGTTTATTTTTTATAATTTATTTTAGCTCTAATTGAATAGAAAAAATAATTATTTCTATATAAATTCGCTAAATTAAGAACTAAAAAGTATATTTATTATTTAAATTTTACTAAATATGAAAAAAAAGAAATATTTATCTTTTACATATGAAATCAAAAATATTTTAGATTATTATATAGTTAACATATTTTTTCTTTAGCTTAAAATAACACAATAAAATTGTTACTTAAAGTGCAATTCTGCTTTATATTTTAGTTTGGGTTAAGTAAAAATAAACTAGAGTTTTGAATTGCTTTTCGCTAGCTCCAAAGGGTATACAAAGTAATTTTGAAAAATCTTTTCTTGCGCTCGCTTCATTTTGTTAGTTTTTCGATCGATTCGCAGAATTTTGGAGCGCAGCGAGCGCTGTTAACGAGCATTTGATTTGTTATTAATGGCAGCTGCTGGGTGAAAAAAAAAAAATTAAAAAAAAAAATAAAAACTATAAATAATAATAACAAAATGAGATGTGTATGAAGAATCGAGGCAAAAACTAAGTAACTTGGTCAAAGAAGATGATGAAGAAGACAGAGCTATAGACATAGGTGTGTGTATGTGTGTGTGAGTGTGTGTGTGTGTATGTGTGTGTGAGGCAATTAGACACAGATCGATTTCAAGTGTGATCCAAAGCTGAGTTTGAAGTAGGAGTTGGAAGTGCGCTCAGTGTATATATATATTGATATATATATATATGTGTGTGCGTGTGTGTGTTGGCGTGTATTGAAGTGATCTCATCGGCAAATTCAACAAGATCTTAGCTTAATTTTTTGGGCTTATCAGCGATAAGAGCGCTCGAGTGTTGCCATAAGTAGACGAAAATCTGAGCCCATAAATATCATTGACAAGCCAAATTGTGTAATCATAAATTAACGAGGCTGAGGCGGTAGTGCGAGCGAGACAGCTGTCAGCAGTTAAACATATTCATTTGTAAGGCCAAAAATAGAAGTTCATTAAATAATTAACAGACAGCAGAAAGCAAATAAAACCAAGTTAACAAGAGCAACAACAACAACAACAACAACAACAACAGCGACAACAACAACAACAGCGACAGCTGTCCAAATTGCGCCAAGTCTAGCCCGCGCTCTCTTTCTCCTACTCCCCCGCCTCGCTCTCTCCCTCTCTCTCTCTCTCTCTCTCTCTTTCGCTCTCTCTCTGTGTCAACTTCTTGGACTTTCAAGTACACACGCCATCATCATCTATATAAATTGGCACCAATTCGTAAAGCCATCGAAGACATCAACAACAAATTGCCAGATTAGCACAAATTATAAAATCATATAATACACACATACACACATAGAACTACCCATACATATATATATATATATATAACTAGCGCGCAATCATTTCCGTATTTTCGATTCGCAAAGCAATACAAAAGAAAA